CTGAAATATTCATATTGCTGATAAAAATCCAACAAGTGGCAATTAAAAACTATGTATAGAATTAGGTGTTGTTAATCTTTAGCCCACCATGCACATTTTAAAAGATAAAGGAAAAGGTGGCATTCTCCTTGACTACCGGCTCTCCCCAGCACCTCTGTTTTTTTCATGTTCACTGGAGAGCGGCAAACAAAAGAGGGAAGTTTATTCCCTGTTTTTTCTTCTTCCCTCCACTTATTTGGGTATCTCTAGCTTTTTGCCAAAGAGAAGACTGCACCGTGTCCAACTGCCCCTGTGGACAAGTCACTTCACTTCTCTAGGCTTTGGGTGCCCCATCTGTAAAATGGGGGTGAGATCACTAAGCCCTTTGCGAGAGGTTTGGGTGAAAAGTGCTTTGTCAGGATGTATTCGTCCCACAACTGTCTGCACTGCAGGAAACATGGACTGTCATGGATACTTACCTCCCTGCAGTTCCAAGGTGCCTCATAGGTTCCCACGGGGAGCTGCAAATGCCACATAATTAAACACATGTAGGGGGGGCAGGCTTTCAGCTCCAGCCCTAAGGACATGCTGACAGTGGTATCACAAATGGCACCCTCCCATCCCTGGAACACAATCAAAGCGCTGGAGCTGGAAGCAGTGTCAGTAATTGCCCCCTTTTTATTCTTTTTCCCCCTTTTTTTTTTTTTTTAAAGCTCTGTGTGGAAAGGGGGGAGGGAGGAACACCAGGAGATCCTGGTGGGAAACTGAATGCAGCACCAAGGCATTCATGGAGAGAGTCTCATACTTCATCTCTAAATACTTCAGGCTAGCCATGGAAGCACACCAAGGGCAGAGAGGTGCACAGCAAGGGCTGAGCAGCACGCATAGTAGGAGTAGGCTGCACAGTTCAAGCAGTAGGAAGGGGATGGGGAGAAACGGGTGGCTTACTGATATCTCATCCAACAGCAGGATAAGATGTTGGGAAATGAACATTACCCATGACTGGGGCTGCTGGATTGAAATTAGTACTGTGCAAAGGGAAGTGTTTGATGACTAACGCAAATACCCCAGAATTGCTACCCAATCTCTTTGGCTTGGGTTTTGTCACAAGTATCTTTTGGTTTGGTATCCAGCAGTGGGATGCCTAGACATGGAGCACAGGGTAAAACAAGCTCAGCAGCTAGGGACGCCTGGCTTTTGCCCTCAAAATGTGAAACACGGAAATGTGAAAAGATTTGAGGTTTCCTGCAGTGCCTTGTCCCCCTGCCCAAAAGATAACAAACCATGCCAGATACCTGCTGCATAGAAAGCTGCACATGGGGCAGAAAAACACAAGAGGGTGAAGGATGCAGGGGTTCCTTAAGGCCAGTATGTGCTGACAATACCAGGAAAACAAAGGGACTCCAGGTCAGCATAAAGCTTCAGCAAAACAGGAACACCTTGCTAGGTGTTGAAACTACGAGCGTTAGAATGCAGGTTAACCACTTTGTTGCCGCTTACCATGCCAGGTACATTGGGCTAAAGGCACCTCCATCCAGTGCTGCCTGACGTGCCAGGTACATCCCATGATGTTCCATTGAAATCACAACAGGCCATCAATAGAACGTGGCTGCACAGATGCTGAATGAAGAACCAGCAGGGACGCTGTTAAATGCAATTAAAAAACTGCAATCAAAATTGAAATGTACATTTCAAACGGCTACCTAATTCACAGACAACAATGGCTTCTATCATTAACCCCTTCTCGGACTGCTGAGCTGCACGGAGCAGGGGTGTGCGAACATTGTGGGGAAATCCTTGCAAACCTCTTGGCTCTTCTTCCCTTGGAGGTTGTTTTCTCAGAAATTCAAAAACCTGAAGAGCTTTGGAGGGGAACCCGGAAATTGCTTGCCAGGGAATAGCTTTCCCTAGGACACCTTCATCTCATTTTGCCCCCTGAAGGATGTCTAGCAACTAGATACTACCCTGGTGGTGAAGCCACAATCTTCAGAGTCCCATTCTCTACGCAATGCTTTTTGCATGGCTGTTGAAGCAGCAATTTTAAAAGCTGCCACTGCCGGACCTTGAAATCCTTCAGTCACAGAGCTGCCATAACATTGAGCCAGTCTGGTTGTGAGCCCACTTATACACAAAAGGGGAAGGGAGTGCATTATTCTAAGACAGAATCTCACAGCAAGACGGCAGTACAGACACTACAGTGGCAGAGCTACAGTGCTGATGCTACCATTCAGTAGTGCCATAGCATAGATGCTTCTTTTGCTGATGTTCACAGCCATGAGTGAGGTTGCTATGCTGATCTTATATTTATGTTTAGACCAGGCCTCAGCATACAAAAAAGAGCTTATTGATTCTTTAGGAATTTTACTGTCTCAGATCTTGTCTGCAATGATCAGGAGATCTGATCGATCTTTCAGAGTTCAATTTAGCAAGACTTAACTAGACTCACTAAATTGACTCAGAGGGTGTCCCCACTGGTGTCTGATACTCCTGTTTTTGCGAGGATTAAGGGAAGCCTACCGGAACATTTGCTCCCATTACCTTTCACTCTGGAGATGCTGGCAAGCTCGGCTTAAGGTAAACCAACTCAAGCTACATATTCTACATAGTTGGAGTTGTCGAATTGCTGGATCTAGGGTAGATCTGGCCTTAGTGATTGAGGATTAAAATTCATGGCAAATTACACCCTGGTTCAAAACTGTGAAACAGAGGCCTGCTCCACACCAAAAATTTGGGTCAATCTAATTGCATCACCCACAGCTGTGAAAATTTCACATCCTGTGCACAACAGATAGCTCACCCTGCTCCCCATTGTAGACAGCTAGGTTGATGGAAGAATTCTTTCCTTGATGTAGCTACCACTTCCCAGAGAAAAAGCCCCTCCATTGTTGTAGGTAGCATCAACATTAGTGTTGCGGATGAATATTGCTGTAATTAAAATGTATAATTCTACCCTTTCCTGTCCAAAGGAAAAAATTATTCATCTTCCAATCAAGTAAAGAAGGATTACTGGGAAGGATAATCTTTTAGAGGAGACATTAAATACAGGTCTTTTTATAGGACTATTTGTAGAAAAGGTATGCCACTTGTGAAATCAGGGAAGTAATTAAAACTATATTTTGCCTCAAATTGGAGGAGAAGTTGCAAAGCACTTTTAGTGCTGTGACAGGATTAATTTTGTAATTGGGGTACACGGTAAAGAAGGATTACTGGGAAGGATAATCTTTTAGAGGAGACATTAAATACAGGTCTTTTTATAGGACTATTTGTAGAAAAGGTATGCCACTTGTGAAATCAGGGAAGTAATTAAAACTATATTTTGCCTCAAATTGGAGGAGAAGTTGCAAAGCACTTTTAGTGCTGTGACAGGATTAATTTTGTAATTGGGGTACACGCTTGCACAATATGTCTGGGCCTGATAAGCAGGGGACCAAGGACAGAACATGGATCAAGGACAGAACATCTTTCCCTTCCCCAGCTCCTCTTGGGTTAAGGGTTCATTATCTCCCAGCACCACCCCCACCCTGCCCCCACTATTGTCTCTGTGGAAGCCAGTGGGTATTCCTGTAACCCCCCAAAAGACTCTGAGGTAAACTTTTAAAGGAGGGCAAGATATATAAGTCAGGAAGAGGAAGGCTGATTGGAAAGGTCATAGAGCATCTGATTTTGGGTTCAGACCCAGTGTTCCCTTGAATTTTTTCAACCGTATGCAGAATAAATTTTTTTGTATGCATCAAGGCATGTGTGAATGTGCACCATCAATAGAAACACATGCTGCTGGCTGTGGGCACTCCACCAATCAGCTGAGCAGCATTTGATTCTCTCCTTGATTGCTGCCCAAGCGCTCAACTCACAGGGAACTCTACTCAGACCTCCCTGACTTGTGAGGCATAATTTTTATGAGGGACAGAGTTGATATTTCATAATTTTCCCAGCAAAAGTAAAAAAATTACAAACTACAAAGCTTTCCCAAGATGAATAAAACCTTGGCCTACCTTGATAGCTACTCATGGACTCAAAACCTTGCCTAGCAACACATTATACATTGGCACAGTTCTAGTTCTTTTTGTCTACCTTGTGTGTTTGTCCAGACGGGAGTTAATGATCTTATAGCACTTTTTAAGCAAGTTACATGCTCCCCTCAAAATGAAATTACTAGACACTTTGACTGTAATAAACTTCCTTAAAGGAGATTGATAATAAATGAGGACCATTTGCTATAAAGCTCCTCCGTGGAGAGGATAAAGAATGGAGAAAGAAGGTTCTTCATTCTGCCTGGATATTGCTGGATTCAGGCCCAAAACAAACAGAGTTGAACCAATACCACCTGTATTCTTCTAGTTAGCAAGCAAGTCATGTTTATGCTGAAATATCAGTCTTTTTGCAGTAAGATTATAGCAGTCAAAGCAGGTCAGATTATTTTATTGACAAGATTTTATCCAAGAGGTGAAATTTAAGCACATACACTCTTACTGACCCAGTTTACACTGGTCCAGGAACTATGGTGCAGAACCCGTTTAAAATGGACCACTTCAAGGGTTAACAGCCAAAGCTGTGTTTAAAGCGTGTTTGTATTAGCTTCAATACATGGGTTTGAGCACCCTGTGAATTAGAATCTTTACTCTCTCTCTTGCTCTCTTTTGCTTTTTTTTTTTTTTTTTTTTTTTTTGGGCAAAAGCCAGTGACATCCAGGTTGCAAGTAAGCTAGGGTTGAGTAAATAATGGTGGCTGCATGTGCCAACACTAACTCTGTGAACCATGTGACGATACCCAGCTTTAGGAGTAGGGGTACTGAGCAATGCATTAAAGCATTTCTGGAATCTGGAGTGAGACAGCAGCTCGCATGCAGATTTACACACAGATTACAGAAATTTGCTGCTAGCTACTGTGAAACAAGAAGCTCTGCTCAGCTGTTTCTGCTATAGGGGAAAAACAGCTAATAGAAGCAACACAGAATTATAAAAATAAAGATACATTGCCCACTCATAGAGCATTCCATTTCACGCTGAGCCCAAGCTACCACTGGTAGCCTGTGCTGTCCACCCCAAGCAGCACTCTTACACAGAACACGTTGGTCTACCGCTACCCCTGTGAATGAAGCAGTGAAAACCTTGTGATATATTTGCCAAGCACAATGGACCCCAGGGATGTAGCAGAACCATGAAACAAAAACCACAAGAGACAGGAGAATCAGGTAGCAAGCAACAGACATGGACACTCCCGCAACTTGCTGAACAAGTTCACTAACACTTGCATTTCGACAAAACCTATCAGACAAAGGCAGCCCTGAAGCCAAGCAATCATTTGATATGGCTTCTTTATTTCAGAAAGGCATGTGTATCCTAAGCAGACCCAGCACATATACGCAGGAGACATCCCTGAGGCACTGACTCCATGGGTGTTCCGGGGCTGGAAAGCACCCACTGGCAGCCAAGCTGCCCCTCTCCCATTTGCCTTCCCTCGCACATCCCGCTCGCTGGTGGTCCCACTGACCAACTCCTTCCCTGTCCTCCAGCTGTTCCAGAGCACCACAAACAGCTGATCTGTGGTATTCAGGAAGCTCTAGGATGGAACAGGAGAAGCAGAGACAGGGTGCGAGAGGAGGTGGGGAAGAGGCAGGGCAGGGGTGGGTTCTTGAGGAAAGGAATTGAGAGAAAAGATGGAATGGAGGCATGACCTGGAGTAGGGGGTGATCCAGCAAGAGGGGAAGTAGCACCTCTCTGCTTGAAGCACCTCTCTGCCAGCTCCATTTTGTATGCAAAATTCTCCTAAATTCTTACACTAGATTAGATTTGGGCCTTGATATACAGAGTTCTTCCGTTAAGATTTACCTCTTTCAAAGAGGTCAATTCTTAGGCTCATTCTGAAGTGGTCGGATCCTTAAGGACCGCAAAGATTACATTGAATAAGAAGAGGAAAGACTTCTAGTCCTGGGAGATGGCACGAGGGAAGGACTCTTGCCCACAGCAAGTCAAAGAATTAAGGTTTCCTCTATCTGCCCTGGCTTGCTATGTTTTACCTTGTGATAGCAGGCTAGGGGAGTGGGCATGTAACAGCCCCATGCCACAGCTGGCAGGTGACTAAGGAGAGGTGGAAAGTTGTTTAGGAGATTCCTTGCCCATTCATGGGGACAGAAATTATATTTTGTCTTTGGGGTGTAGGCTTAAAGCTGAAGTCAAAAACCTCCAGGCAGGCAGGTTTCCCCTTTAGCTGTCTCACTTTGCAAAAACTACTGTGACCATCAGGCTAAGCTCCAGGTACAATGGCAACCACCGCCAGCAACATGCCTGCCTGACCCCCACTACATCACGTAGAATCAACATCCAGACTTCACAGCCACGAACTAACTTATAAACAAGAGAGCTACATTCATCAGCCTTGTCATTCGTTCTCCCCTCACCTACTTCACATCCTTCCCAACTGGGCACTGGTCCGTAACTTGTTCGTAACTCAGGGAGCAGCTGTAATCCCACTGTCACAAGACAGGAGCTGGACATCCTAGAAGCAGTGGCTGCAGAGTTTAGTTGGCAAGGGAAGAGAGGAAAATCAGGTTTTAGATTCTCAGCTGTGGTTTACACTTAAAATTTAGATCAATCCAGCTACATTGCTCAGGACTATGAAAAATTCACATCCCCTTAGCACCACCG